AAGCCAGCCTGCTTTTGATGAAAGACCTGGTTGGAATTGCTTGTCCACGGGTCCTTCGCACCTGGCTTGCTATGTGCATCACTTCCGGCCTCACAGCTTTGGCCTTGCCGAGGCTGAGCCCCTGACTCCGAGTAACTGGGATCTTGGTGCCCCTAAAGGACATGTTGGTTTGAAAAGTCGGGTCTTCATTAACTACCATCTCACTGGGTTTAAGTTTGGGGCTTCTTGTTCTCTTTTTCAAATTGAATAGCAATTCCTCAAACTAAATGGACAGCCAGTGTGGTTAATGAAGTAGTCAAAAGCTCCAGGGGTCAGAACAGAAAAAATAGTGTTTTACTTATCTGCTAAGCACTAAAAATTTTCAGATACCAATTTGTGAATAAAGGGTATACAGAGTGCTTACGTTCTGCTTTAATTATAGAATGAGGTAGGACAAGGTTAGAAAAGCTAGAGTTCTGAAATCTATTAAAGCCTTCTTTATAGCATGATTTTTCTCTACAGGACAAAATTTTAGCTGTTTGTTAGTCATATTAATTCTCTGGAATATAAATAGAAGCATCTGGATTTTCGTTTTTGTTTTTGTTTTTAGGAAGAGGGAAACTTGTCCAAAGCTTGGGATAATTTGATGAATATTATCTGGAATAAAATCAAGAGAACATTTTACTTAATAGAGTGTTTGGATGTGAACCTAAGGTTTTTTTGTAAATAATTTATTCATATTGAATAATTCTGCTTCAATTTCTTGGCACTGCCATTATTTCTGGGGCTTTCTTTTATTTTTTATTATTTTTGAAAATGTTTTCATCGCCCACCCGGTGTGCCTCAGTGGTTGAGTGTCCACTCATGCACCAAGATGTCGCTAGTTCGATTCCCAGTCAGGGCACAGGCCCAGGTTGTGGGTCTGATCCCCAGTGCGGGGCATGCAGGAGGTGGCCAATCGATGTTCTCTGTCATTGATATTTGTCTCTCCCTCTCCCTTCCTCTTTCTCTAAAAGCAATAAAGAAAAAAATTTTTTTAAATATATGTTTTTATTGATTATTTTAGAGAGAGAGGAAGGAGAAAGAGAGAGAAACATCAATGTGAAAGAGACACATCGACCAGCTGCCTCCTGCACAACTCCCACTGGGGACCAAGCCCACAACCTGGCCATGTGCCCTGACCTGGACACGAACCAGGACTTCTCATCCACTGAGCCACACCGGCCGGGCTCAGGGGCTTTCTTCTAAAGTTAAAATAGGACTGTGAAACCCATCACAAACGTGAGGGTTTGAGTAACACTTGGCCCGCAGTCTAATCCGTTCAGCCAGCACAGAGCTCTTGGCCCAATGTCTTCTATGAGAATGTGGTTTTCACGGGCATTAACGAAACAACCTCATCAAGGCAAACTCATCCTTTTAGGAGCCAAGTGTCAACTCTGAAGGGGAGGGACAAGTGTTGAGTGTAAGAACTGGGCCGAACAGGAACCAGTAGCTGGTACCATAGCAGCCACACCCACCTCTGAGGGTCATGTGTCCAGAAAACCCACAGTGAGAGACTCTGCAGTTGAGAAACAAAATGTCAGCAGAGAAGTGAAGAGGAAGAACCAAAGTTGCAGCGAACACATGAAAACTTGAATACATATTAAATTCACCAAAAATAATAATAATAACAACAGTGTCTAACATGAAGACAACACCGATGATATTTTATGCCCCCTGCATGTGCGCGACCGGGCACCGTGCCATCACTTTGCGTCTCCATCCCTTGCACACCAGAACATAGCCAGGCTTCCCTCTCTTGTATTAGCAAAAAGATGTTTATAAATACATGTTGCTTTCTTTCCATAAAGTGCATGTTTTGCGCCTATTCCTCTGCTCAAATGTGCTGTCCCTTCCCACCTTTACGATCTCTGTCTCTGAACTCCATTCGGTCTCAGGAACATGGGGTAATTTATAATCTTCAGGTTGAAAAAGCCCCGGGGGGATCCATTTTTTTAAATCCTCATCCAAGGATATGTTTTTATTGATTTTTTTTTTTAAGAGAGAGAGTAAAAGAGAAGGAGGAAGGGGGAGAGAGAGAGAGAGAGAGAGGAACATCAATGTAAGAAACATCAGTCGATTGCTTCCCATATGTGCCCTGACTGGGGATCAAACCCACAACCTGGGTATGCGTCCTGGCCAGGGATCAAACCCGAGACCGTTTGGTGTATGGGACAATGCTCCAACCACTGAGCCACAGAGGCCAGGGCGGGGGATCCATTGTAACTTACCTAGCAGACCTGTGCAGTTCTGTTCCCAAGCCCCAAAGTCCAGACTGGACCGCTGCAGCTGTGCCTGTGGCAGACCCCCACAGCACACCCATGGCGACTCTTGCACGTGGCCGCCGGCCCGTGCACACGGAGTGCCGGCTCCGGGCGGCTGGCCTGCCTCGGCCCTCCTCACGTCGCCCATCGTCGCACTGCACAAAACCGCTCCTCTCTCAGCTAACCACGCTGCCCCCTTTTAAATGCTCACGCCCCACTCCCTTTTTCTCATATCTCCAAGAAAAACGGCTCTCAGTTGGAATACATTCATGTGGAAATTTTTTGAAGCTGCAGAAATAGGCAGGGAGAGAAGTAAATCTGCCGATGCTGACATTTTGTTGGGAATGTGCATTTGGCCATGTTGTCCACTTATAAAGACTGCGACGTAGGCCTAACGAGCCTGTTGTCATGCCTCTCAGAGGAGCCTGAGCAATAGACTTGGAACATGCTTTGTTAGCATCGGAGGCCGGGGGTGATGGACGAGACCTGGTTTGTGCCCGAGCACTGACTCTGGTCCTCTGTGTACTCTGTGTCCCTGTTGTCCACTCAGCAGCACAGGGCTGGCCGAGGGCCCCTACCTCAAGGTGTCGTGCTCCAAATTTATTTAGAATAAGGTTTGGCCTTGGAGGGAGGTGGCAGAGCTGTGACCTCTCTTTCCTCACTGACTTGACCATCGCCATGCAGCCCTGTGAGTGAGAATGTTGGGGTCAGGCTACCTACACCCCTTTCTGCCCTCTTTTGTCTGCCTTGGACCCTCACTGCACTGACTTTCTGCCAGGTCCTTTATATAACCTCATTTGATTTCTCCAAGTGGGGTTTGTGCTCAGTCTATGCCTATGATACAATGTTGGCATTTATGAAAGCAACGGGCATGCAAACATCACGTGTCCTGCTTAGTGTCTTCTCTGTCCTCTGATAAACATCATCCCATCTATCTTCACACACCTGCCGTCTTACTCACCAGACAGAGGGCTAGCCACAGAGCTTCGACTGTGGTTTCCTGACCCATGCTGTTCACGGCCACAGCCATCACTGAGCCCTCGTCCGGTGGCCGCTTGTCTCTGGGCCCTGCGCTAACCTGTCTTCCAGCCTCGGCCCCTTTCCACGGAAAATGCAGTCACCCACAGCATTCCTTACTCTTTCCCTTGGCAGAGGAAAGGGGGATTTATTTCATTTCCCCACAATTCTCAGCTCCATAAATCCCCATCAGACTTCTTTTCTCCCAAGAGTCCTCTCCTCCCCCAATCCTCACACACAGTTCTTCCCCTCCTCCCTCTCCTGTGCTGCTCACACCCCGTCTAATGAACCCACCCTACCGTTTAACCTAAAGAGAATAGCTGTCCTATTATCCTTTATCCTTTTGAATATTAAATTACTTAAATTATTCATTTATCTTTCTAGCGCCACAGGTTAATATCTGAGCACTTTTTAAAAATTGATTTGAGAGAGAGAGAGAGAAACATCAGCGTGTTGTTCCACCTACTCATGCATCCATTGGTTGATTCTTGTATGTGCCCTGACCGGGAATCGGACTCACAACCTTGGTGCATCGGGTTGACGCTCTAACCCGGCCACCCGGCCAGGGTTAAGCAGTCTTCACAAAACATCTGTTTGGCAAAGTAAGTTTCTCTCTACAGAACAGTGTCTGCTGTCCTAAGAAGACAATATTCTCCTCACACACGCAGGCCCCGATGACTTCAGCTAGAGTTTTATAACATTTTAAAACTCTCAGTGCCTCGTCATGCCCAACTTAGACTAGCCGGTGGGGGCAGGGAGCAGCTCCCCCAGAAAGAAATGAGTGGGGGGGGGGAGAGACAGAGGAGCCGCCTTTCTTCCTACTTTCTCTGAAGGTTCTTCCCAGGCCTCGGAGCTGAGCATGGTGGCGGGGATGGGAGCGAAGCTGTGGAGGAGAAGCTGAGAAGCTCAAGGAAGACTGGGCTATTGGCAAGGTCAGCGCTGCTGTATCAAGGGCCATCGAATGGCTCCCCAAGTCCATATCCCGGGAGAACTCTGTGACCCTGGAGACCTCCATGAGTCACGATGGAAGCAGAGCCCAGGACAGCTACTGTCACCACAGGCAGCCTGCCAGGACCAGCCCCGCTGGCCACGCCCAGGGCCAGGCGGACCCAGCAAGTGTCCTTCAGGCCCAGAATGATCCTCACCGGAGGGCCAGGCCTGACTACAGACTCAGGGCTTGTTGCTGGTTCCAAACTGCAGAAGAAAGACTTCAGCGGTCCGGGCAACTCCCGATTCTGAGGCTCACTCCCGCAGGGGCGGCCCTGTCTGCGGTGGTCTGGCAGTGCCTGGGGGGCTGGGCTCTCAGGACCCTGTGCTGTGGATTCCGCTTCTCAACAGCTTTGCAGCTCTGACCCCAGCAATGTGGTGACTTGGGTAGGATTTGGATGACTTGGAGTTAGAGAAGAAAGGGAACTAGGAAATGACGTGTGCTCACGTGCGTGCGTGCGTGTGTGTGTGTGTGTGTGTGTGTGTGTGTCCTGTCTTCCTAATGCTCAAACGGGGAGTCCGTACACAGAAGTGTTGCGACTGGAGAGGGATGCCCTGATGCTAACAGAAGTGCTTACTCAGTGTGCATATTAGAAACCACACATGGCATTTAGATCAACATGCATTTGCTGAGAGCGCCACCTGCAGTCAGAATCATCACCAGGAGCTCTCCTGACCCTTAAAAATGAACACCAAGGTTTGCTTTCTCCGCAGGTCCTCGAGTATGTTCCACGTGATGAAGCACAACCACTACATCTCCCGCTTCGGCAGCAAACTGGGGCTGCAGTGCATCGGCATGCACGAGAACGGCATCATATTCAACAACAACCCAGACCTCTGGAAAGCTGTTCGACCTTTCTTTACAAAAGGTAATCTGGTGGCTGGCGAGCTGCTGCTCTTGTCTACGAATGTGCCGTTTTTGGAAATCATTCTGAAATTCTGCTGCTTCACAGGTTTGAGATAATGACACGAGCTAACGTGCTTTATACGTTTATTATACAGCAGGCACCATTGTGAACACTTGATACTTTAATCCCATGGCAGCCCCTGGCGGCAAAATACTCTAGTCACCTGCACTTTACAAAGGAGAAAACTGAGGCATAAGGAGGTTAAGTAACTTGTCCAGGATCCCAACTTTAGTAAAGGGTGGCCCAGGAGACAGCTCCAGAGACTACATTTTTACCCACCACAGATTATTTTCCTGTTTAATGCACAGAGCAATTTCATGAACATGAAGAAGAGATGGAGTGCCAAACAGGATCATTTCTGTTAAGAATTGAGTGTGTCTGCCATATGTTTGATTTAAACATAGCAAACAATATGTTTGCTGAATCATTGACTGACATCCCAGATGTTTGAACAGGAAGCAATTTGTGAATAAAACTGGAGGATTTTAGAACTGGGAAGGACTGTATAAGTCACTTCATCAGCCTCTGAGTTTTAAAGTTGAGTTTCACAGTCCTGGAGAGGTTGCGATGGATGAGCAGGGACTGGATCCCAAGCCTCCTTCTCTAGTGAGTTCCCCCTTTACTATATCCAGTGGAAAACGAAGCTGTTGGGGGATAGACATGACCAGACTTTGACATTAACATCAAGGAATATAATCAAGCCTTGGAAATGTTGTCAGTGGTGAAAATGGTGCTAGATGGATTTAAGGTCTGACCATGCACCATCGATATTCTTCCCTCCAGTCAGCCTTGTAGTGAACCTAGACGCCTCCTTCGTGGCTGCTGAGACGGGAAAGCTGTGCCCATTCCCGCTGGGCGCTGGTTCCCCTCTGCAGAGTTGCCCATCACCAAGACTCGGCACAACTCTATTGTAGACTCTGTTGTATTAGTTTCCTATTGCTGCTGTGACAGATGGCCACAAGCTTAGTGGCCTAACACAACATGTTATTTCACAGTTCTGTGTGTCAAGTGTGACATGGGTCTCACTGGGCTCAAACCAAGGCAAGGCATCAGCTGGGCTGTGAGGCTCCAGGGGAGAACCTGTTCCTTTGCGTTTCCTGGCCTCAGAGGCCGCCCACATGCCTTGGCCCACGGCCCCTTCCTCTGTCTTCAAAGCCAGCAACAGTGGGTTGAGTCCTTTTTATACCACATCTCTCTGACCATCCTTCTGTCATCACATCTCTTTCTGGCTCTGATCTCAGCTGAGAAAGTTCATTGCTTTTAAGGACTTGCATGATTAGGTGGGCCCACCCAGATAGTCCCCCACATTCTCCCCACCTCAAGGTCCTCAATCTTAATAGTATGTGCCAAGTCCATTTTTCCATGTAAGGTAAACATAGTAATAGGTTCCAGGGATTAGGGCCTGGAGAACTTTAGGGGACTATTATTCTGCCTATATTCATATTGGGGCAGATAAATCCTCTTATGCCTGACAAAATTGCAGAATAGATGAATGAAAAGAGTATAGGGTCCAGGATTATAGGTTGTGGCTTTGATTCCTAGTTCTATGACCTTGGACAAGTCACTCAGCCTCTCTGAGCTTCAGTTTCCGTATCCATAAAAAAGTAACAGCTGTAAACACTTGGATTGTAGAGTCATTGTGAAAAATAAATGCAATAATGCTGTAAGATCCTATAGAAATGTTTTATTTTACTTTGTCATTTTGGTCCAGCTGTATTAGGAAATGTGTGAACGAGTACTGAGGAGCAATTATTTATCATATACCATTATTCTCTATTCTGACATGCAAGAATTCATAGAATCTCTAAACTCATCCATTTGTTTAACAAACAACTGTCTTCTCGTCATTGAACTAGGTGCCCAGAACACAATGAGAAATAAGATATGGTCCCTGCCCTCAAGGAGTTTATAACGGGGGAGGGAGCAGAGTAGCAGACCAGTACCTCACCAGATTCCATCCTCAGTGATGTATTACGGTCGAGGTGTGGGCAGAGTGTACACAGCCCAGACTAATGGGCCAGCAAAAGCACACTGAGAGGCCAGGGAAGACTCTTCAGAGAAGGATATGCTTATGATGAGTTTTCAGAGAAGGTAAAAGCTGCCTAAGTTAAGAAAATGTGATAAGGACACATTCCACAGGAGGAAAGAACAGGGTACTCCAAGGCAGAAAAGGATACATTAGCACGCCCTGTCCAGGGAACCGCAGGTAGGCCCGTGGACCTTGATTTGATACATGCCTGCACATATCCACCAAGGTATTTGGCCAAGGGAAGGCAGGGCCAGCCACCAAAGGCTGCTGTGCTAAGGCAAGGAGCTGAGCTTCCCTCAGGAGCTACGGGAGATCATTCAAGAGTTTCAGCAGGATGGCATGAACATACTTCTGTTTTAGAAAATCTCCTCCGGTAGCAGAGTGAACGACTAATTGGAAGGAGGCATGACTGTGAGCAGTGAGAACAGTTAAGAGCTACAGCAGTGACACAGGTGGGTGGAGGGTTAGGTACCCACATAAGAGATGTTAAACGAGTAGAATTGAGCGTGCTCCCCCTTGCCTCTGCCTTCCCCCTCTTATTCTCTCTCAGGCGTGCATCTCCTAAACTCTAAGGGTCCCCTCAAGACTTGCAACCAGGGGAGCAATGGGCAGCAGCAACTTGCCCCAAGTTAACCCCCTGAACCTGTCTCCAAGGCCCCCTTTTCTCTGACTTCCCAGTGAGCCAAAGCAGCCCAGCCCAGGCTCTCCTGTTGCTTCTTCTGTCCTAAGACCTTCCTTGTTTCCTTGTCCCCAGCTTTAATAAACGTACTCCCAAAATTAGGAATTAAAAAAAGAATCCGCAGTGCTTGGAAATTATTCAAAAAAATATTTGTGACACCTTTTAGATTAGCCCTATATATATGGGAGATCAGATTTTTTATTTATTTATTTATTTTATTATTATTTTTTTTATCCTCACCTGAGGACATTTTTTCCATTTTTTATTCTGATAGAGTGGGAGGGAGGAAGGGAGGGAGGGAGGGAGAAAGAGAGAGAGAGAGAGAGAGAGAGAAAGAGAGAGAGAGAGAGAGAAACATCGATGTGAAAGGAACACATCTAGTGGCTGCCACCTGCATGACCCAATCAGGGCCAGGGGCAAACTGCAACTGAGATACGTGCCCTTAGCGGGAACCGAACCCGGGTCTCTCTGGACCACAGGCCAACGCTCTAACTGCTGAGCCAAACCGGCCAGGGGAGGAGATCAGATTTTTTAATGAAAACATTACAAAACTGGATCCATATTAAATGCCAAAAATCAGGGGCTAATTGTTTATTGAAAATTCACTGCTGTGTGTGATATTTTTAGTAATCACTGAGAGCCCAAAGCATGTCATGATGAATCTCCTTTTAGAGTTAGGCTTCTTATTGGTTTTTCTGATATAGTAGAAAGTTTGGGATACATTTTGGTATCTAAAGCACTAATATTAATAATGATATTGACCCACTGGGTGTGTCTATGGAGAAACAGTTACATTCAACTTAGCCCATGGCTGTCTTGGGGGATGAAGTGGGAGGGCCAAGAGACAGCCTGTGTTTCCCAAAACCACCAAGAGAGTTGTCTATTTTATTTTTAAATTAATTAATTAATTTTTACAGATTGTTACAGATATTCCCCCCCCCCCTTCCCACCCTGTTCCCAGCTGTGTCCATGTCCATTATTCATGCATACATGCATATAAGTTCTGTGGTTAATCTCTCCCCCACCAACCCCTATTCTGGGGATTATCATTCTGTACCCCATTTCCATGTCTCTGGGACTACCCCATTACTCAGACTGTTATGTTCTTTATATTCCACAAATAAGTGAGATCATATGATACTTGTCTTTCTGTGTTTGGCTTGTTTAGGTAAGGATAATACTTACCAGGTCCCTCCATGTCGTCTCAAAGGATAAGAGATCTTTCTTTCTTACAGCTGCATAGTACTCCATTGTGTATATGTACCACAGCTTTTTTATCCATTCATCTACTGATGGACATTTGGACTGTTTCCAGATCTTGGTTATTGTAAATAGTGCTGCTACAAACATAGGGGTACATATGTTTTTTCTAATTGGTGTTTCAGGCTTCTTAGGGTATATTCCTAGAAGTGGGATCACTGGGTCAAATGGAAGTTCAATTTTTAGTTTTTTGACATAACACCATATTGTTTTCCATAGTGGCTGCACCAGTCTGCATTCCCACCAGCAGTGTACTTGAGTCCCCTTTTCTCTACACCCTCACCAACACTTGTTGTTTGATAATTTGTTGATGGTGGCCATTCTGACAGGTGTGAGGTGATACCTCATTGTTGTTTTCATTTGCATCTCTCTGATGATTAGTGATGTTGAGCATGTCTTTATATGTCTCTTAGCCATTTGCATGTCCTGTTTGGAGAGGTGTCTATTTAGTTCCTCTGCCCATTTTTTAATTGGGTTCTTTGTCTTCCTTTTGTTGAACTGTATAAGTACTCTATATATTTTGGAAACTAACCCCTTATCTGATATATCATTGGCAATGATGCTCTTCCATACAGTGGGTTGCCTTTCCATTTTGGTGGTTGTTTCTTTTGCTGTGCAGAAGCTTTTGAGTTTGATGTAGTCCCATGTGTTCATTTTTTCCTTTGTTTCTGTTGCCTTAGGTGATGTATCAGTGAAAATTCTGCTGCGCATGATGTCTGAAATTTTGATGCCTACATTTTCTTCTAGGATTTTTATGGATTCATGAGTCACATTTAAGTCTTTATAAATTTTGAGTTTATTCTTGTATATGGTGTAAGTCGATGGTCTACTTTTATTTATTTATTTATTTTTGCATGTAGCTGTCTAATTTTCCCAACGCCATTTATTTAAGAGGCTATCTTTAATCCACTGTATGCTCTTGCCATCTTTCTCAGACATTAATTGAGCATATTGCCATGGGTCTATTTCTGGGTTCTCTATTCTGTTCCACTG